TTGGTTGGCATTTTAGTCATAGCTATGGTTGCTTCAAGACCACTGTGAAATATTACACCTGTTGTAGTCATTCTGAAAATAAGAACTTTTTTTATTTACTACTACATAAATATGTATTTATGCGTCGTCCTGCAGGTAATCGAGCCCGTTCTCAAAGTACATCGCGCCTACAGATTTATCTTGAAATCGCCACAATGTGACCGTTACGTATTCTGTGAACTAAATTCGCCCGAGCAAAATGCAGTTGGCAGCAACGCGCGTGGCCTGATTTCAGGTGTCAGTCCGAAGATTGTGAAAATCGGCAGCATGGGAGCCGCTATATTCATTAGCACCGAAACTGGCACACCGTTCTGGACATTGTTTGGCGTGATAAATGCGCCACACAACTGTGAGGTAAGCACATCGAATTAATTAATAAGCACACGGCAAAGTTAGCAGCATCTTCGCTTTACTCGCAGAATGCGATGCGACATAGTTTCGGGTTTTTTTTATTGAGTTAGTTAAACAATTTTGATAACGATTACATACATTTAATGTGTTTGCCTTTCACTTGCTTGCTAATGTGTCAATATGTGTGTAAATATGTGTGTATTACGTGGTTCTTTCTTTTTCCATTCCATTTTAGGTCAAATATCCAGTCGATTGCAGTGGTTTCCATGAGGGCGAAGCTAAAGTGACCACTGAATATGTACACAATGAGTTGTAAATGGATGCGATGGAAAGGTGAAGTTTACAACAACAACAAAAAAGGAAGCTGTGGATGTGATGTTGATCTACAAAGCTGCGATAGGAATGCAAATTGATTGTGGCTGCATAATTATAGTTAATATTAGCTAGTTTTTAAACGTACTTTAAATAAATGTTTAGCCGCTAAATATTAAGAAAATATAAATTATTCATACGTAAATTTTAACAATTCTTTTGATTTGATGGTTACGTAACTGCTTATTTTAAAGGTAACTAACATTTGAATTATCATATCGCTCAGTTTTGCTATTCTGTTTTTGCATTTAATTTCGTTGGTTGATACACAGACCGATCTGAATACTAATCTCTCTAGTTTACAAGATGTATAGTTTACGGAGGCATTTTAGCTCTGATCCAGTACTCCATGAACTTACAGGATTTTACACGAACTTGCAGGAAGTTGCAGGAAAAATGTTCCCGTACTCCAAAATCCTCCAAAATCCTGTAAATGAGAGCAACTTTTGGAGAGTTGTGTAGAGAATGAAGTTGCAAGATTTTACCCGAACTTNCGTACTTTTGTTGTTACTCACTTTTTACTCTCACTTCAGATAGTAATTTTGCTCTTTGATAGTTTTACAGGATTTTTCACGAAAAGTATTGGACCAGAGCTTTTGCTTATTATGCTCAAAGAAAGTGCTGAGAATTTGTTTTGACTTGCTTACAGAACACAATCATGGAGTTCAGTTGACGTCACTTT